TGTGCCGTAAATGGGAAAATGTTCGGGGAGACAGCTGTCATTTGCAAATGTTTGTCCCTAATGCTAAAGTACCGGATGTTCTACAGCTGTATCATAATGATTGTTCAGGAGGCCATTTGGGACTTAAACGAACTCTACTGAAGATCCGAGATTGGTTTTACTGGGTCCACTGTCGAAACGATGTCGAGGACAGGTGTCGCAAATGTACAAGTTGTGCGGCTATAAAGGGACCTCAGACTCGTAGTAGGGGTGCATTAAAGTTGTACAATGTTGGTGCACCATGAGAGGGAATAGCCATTGACGTGGCGGGACCGTTTCCGGAGAGTGAAAGCGGTAACAAGTATTTCATGGTTGTGATGGATTACTTTACTAAGTGGCCAGAAGTCTTCGTCATTCCAAATCAAGAAGCTACAACAGTTGCGGATAAACTAGTTCATGAAGTCTTCTGTCGTTTTGGAGTACCTTTAGAAATTCACAGCGATCAAAGAAGGAATTTTGAGTCTCAAATATTCCAGGAAACTTGCCGAGTTATGGGTACTCATAAAACAAGAAAGACTTCTTATCACCCGCAATCTGATGGAATGGTAGAACGATTTAATCAGACATTAGAGAGGTGCCTAGCAAAAGTTGTAGGCAATCGGCAACGAGATTGGGACAAGCACATACAACCGTTTTTGTTGTCATATCGAAGCGCTGTTCACAAAAGTACAGCAGTGACACCAGCTTTCGCAAACTTTGGAAGAGAATTACGGCTGCCTGCCGACCTGATCACCGGGATACCACCTGATGCCCTACGCAGTATAACCGGTTATGCAAATGACTTGCGGAACAAAATTAATGACATTTATGAGCACGTCAGATAATCGGGCCAGCAAATGTATGAGAAGATGAAAACCCGGTATGATCGCAAAATGAATAATAAAGGGTTCGACGAAGGTTCACTAGTGTGGTTGCACAATCCAGTCCGCAGCAAATGTAAATCTCCTAAGCTAAATGGGACGGCCCGTACCGGATTGTAACCAGGATCAACGATGTAACCTACCGGATACAGAAAGGCGCAAGAGGGACTCCTAAAATCGTCCATGTGGATCGCTGGGCGCGTTATTATGGGGCCGATAATGCTCGTGACGAGCATGTCTTAGGAGGGAGCAGTGTTGCGCGAATAAGTCGACGTCATGTATCCAGCACTAGCGCCATCTAGTGTCAGGGATGAAGAACTAAGCTTCTAGAAGTCGACACTCGAACTCTCGGCCCCTAGCGCGTATTTACTTGAATATTCTGGATGTTTCGGTGCTAATTGGTATTTGTAGGCGCTGCAAGATGCGATCGGGGAAGTATTGAATATGGCGAGACTAGCGAAGCTTCGGAGCGAAATAAAGTGAATCAGTGTAGTTAATTATTAGTGTTCTAAGTTTTAATTAGTGTAAAGTGAATTAAAGAGTTAATTTGGTAATTCAATCGGCAGTTTTTATTGTCGCGAACCTCAAGCTCGTAACAGTTCATTAATTCAATGAGTAGTGTTGGCGTAAATATAAGAAAGCGTTAGGTAAAAAGGGATGTTTTTTTAGAATAAGAGTGGTGATAAGCGAGCACATAGTCCACTTGATGGTAAGTGAAAGTTGCGACCTATAGACTTCTACATTTATCCTTGTCCACTCCAGACACGTTATCACCCCTCAGGTCTAAATTTTTTTTTAATTTATTTAATATAAGAAAAAATACAGAAAATCACAATATATAAACATCACAAAAACCCTTACTACGGGTTTGTCTGGATGTTGAGACACTTTTGAGCAATCTGTTGACATTAGTTTATACATATTATTATTTAATAAGAACATCAAATATAGTCTTAACAGTATGAAGTATGGGTACATTGTTTACATAAAAGTGGACATAAAGGAACCGGATATAGATAAGCAGCTCGGCGCTGCAGGCGGCCGGCCGGCTTTTGCTACTTGAGTGTGTTATAGAGGTTGTTTTGATTATCAATATGATATTACGTTAGGATTGATTTCATTAAAATTAGACTACTTTTTATTAAAGTAAAGAATTAAAGTATTGCTTATATTTAATTTTGTAATATTTGTGCGTTATTCTTAATCGGATTTTAGTAGGTATATCATTAATGAGGGTTGGTATTAAATACGCGTTCGTTCGTTTTCCGTAGTAATTTCTAACTCTCTTGGTAATTCTAATTTTGATTGAGTTACTTTCCGTGTCGTTGTTTTATGATTCACTTTTATTTGTATTTGTTTGTCACATTTTTATAATACAGGAGTAGATAATGCAAGGGTTCGAGCGCGGAGCCTTGTGCTGTTCGAGTAGTTACAAATATTTCGTCACTGAAGTCATTACCGATCTTAACCCGGTATTTTCTATTGTTGAGATAATCTTGGCACCATTGTAATAATGGCGCGCGGATACCTGTATTGTCAAGTTTTTTTATAAGAATATCGTGCCTAAGAGTATCAAATGCCTTACTAAATTCGATGCATAATAATATGACATGTTTTATATAATTCAGGTGTTCGTTTATTTCTTCCGTAAATTTAGATAGCAATATAGTAGTGGAATTCTTAGATTGAAAGCCATATTTAGCAATTTATAATATATCGTTTCTAGTATAAAAATTGAGAATTTGTTGAGCCACATATTTTTCAACGACCTTATCTATGACTGACAGTATTGTTATAGGCCTATAGCTATCATAATCACGATGTGATCCCTTTTTATAAATTGGTCTTAAGATGCCGGTTTTCAATTCTAGTAGATTTTTTCCTACTGTTATGCTCATGTTTATCAGCTTAACTACAATATTAGCAATGTTATCACTCAGTCAAAACATCGGATTCCATCATTACTAGCCGATTTAAACTTTTTGTAATAGTTAATGTATCGCGCTTAGTATGTTTTTAAATAACATAGATTTGTTTTTAGTAAATAAGTACTCCGATTCTGACATAAGTTTTTGCTGCACCTAGGCAAAATTTTCTTGACGTTATTGCAGAATTCCTTAGCAAAATTGTTGGCTATATGTTTTAATGTTAGATTGTTTTTCTTGAATGCTTTGGTTACAGCTTCATCTACTGACTTACGGGCCAGTAAGCGTATTTAATATATCCCACATTTTCTTTTTATTCATTTTATTATTATTAATTAAATCATTAAAGTATTTGTTTCTAGATTTTTCAATTAATTTTTGAGTTTTGTTTCGCTGTTTATTAAATTCTAATTTAAGTATATGATTATTCGTATCCTTTTTCCACTGATTAAAAAGTAAATCTCTTTTTCGGCACATGTTGTTAATTTTATTATTTATCCATAATTCTTTGTTTCGTTTGCTATTTAAATTTATTTTTGTTTATATTTAGATAGTTCGTAACACATTTTGAATTTATTTTTATTATAATTATAAATCTCTATAGGACATAGCATCTTATCGACAACATTCCAATCAATTTCATTTAGCTTTAGTTTTAGTATATTATAATCAATTAGTTGTTTAACTTTTGCACCAACCTCTAGAATGTTTTCAACTCCGCTTCCTAAGCACGACAACACAACCATACGGTGCGGTCATGGTAATTTTATCTACACAAATTCATACAAAGGGACGAAGCGAGAGCTATGCCTACGCGCCTCGATCTCGGCATGCGCTCGGCATGCAGACAGTCGTGACTGTGCCGCAGTGATGATTTTGTGGAATATATAAAAAATGGAGTTAATAAATAATAGAATAGAAATAAAGAAATAATAAATCCGAACTTCATTTAAAACCAAACATATAAATTGTAAAGTAGCTCTCTAAAGTAGCAATCTATAACTAAGTAAAAGATATTCCTTTTCTCCGCCTTGTCCATGTTTTCCAAAACAATTTTTAATTAAGCTTTATATTAGAATGCCGATTTTTTATACTTAAAACTTTAATAATAAAGCGTTTCGTACGTCTCGGCTGAGGCACAAATTTTTTTCGGTCGCAAATTTATAAGACGATTTGTTATTCAAACATAAACATGGTTTTTTAATTAAATCTACCCATCAAAAAACGACACGCATTTTTATTGAACACTTCCTATTCAATTCACAAAGTACCTATTATATTTGTTTATATAAAAAAGTATATTTACAATCATAAAACTAAGTAGAAACACAAAGTAGCCAAATGTAAAAATGCTGGAGGCAGCCCTATTGCATGTTTACGTACCGTACGGCTGTAGGCATTTATTTCAAAGATACGGCCGAGTAACAATACTGTATAGATAATATTACCGTGGTGCGGTGGTCTACCATTACAGTACCGAGTGCGGCCGAATAACGGGTCTATCGAGCGGGTTCTGGCAAAAATATGATCAATGTAACTCCGCGTAATAATATCTTTTCGGTTTTCGATTCATCTAGTCCATATTCGGCCATGCAACTTATATAGTATTCTCGTATGTTATCATGCGACTTTAAGTCGATATTTATATCACCCAGTAAGTAAAAGTCCGAGCATTTAAAAACGTCCTTACACAACAGTTTTTTCAATTCTTGGATAAATAAGTGTTTGCTTTTTTGGGTGGTCTATACAATGAACAAATAAATGCCGTGTATTGATGTGACGTAGATAAGTTACCTATTAAAGATTCACGATAGTTTAGTGATACATTATTTAGAATTTGAAACTTGTGGGTACTTTTTATATACATAACAATGGCACCACTTCTTCACTGTTCACGAAGCTTGTAGTGCATTTCATAGCCATGAATATTAAATAATTGGACAAGATTACTGCTTTTGGAAATTCCTACTAATTTAATATAATAACGTCAACATCAATTTTAGACGAATGAATGAATTGTAAAACCAGATTTTTTTTACCATTGATCGCAAATTTATGTGGACAATATTTAGTTTTTGTATATTATGTGGTAGATATTTACTAAACTCGTTTATGTTAGCACAGTCAAACAATTCTTTTATTTCCTGTGAAGGAACTGTAGCGTTGTGTAAAACTGCTATCGATATTTTTGAATAGACAACTTATCAATATCACATGAGCTTCTTATGATAACTGGCTTATCATTATCAAATTTGCGAGCCAAGACTTTACCATCCTGGAACCATATATATTTGTAAGTTTCCTTCAAGGTTTGTTTAGCTTGCCACAGAAGTGTTTTATTTGCTTTGATTAGTGCACGCCGAGTTATATCTTCCATAGCAATTGTTTCCGTTCGTGCAGCGCGGATCCACTGGTCGACCTGCTCCTCTTGTTGCAATACTACCTGGATCACACCTTCTTTAACGTCCCTGCCTTTCATTTTCTTCACCATTGACACTTGACGTTTTTCTATGTTTAGCTTTGAGGCTAGTTTACTTGAAAGTTTTTCCAAGTTCTCGTCCTTATCTTCGGGAATTCCTGTTATTTCCAGTATATTATCCAACTGTTTTTGTTCCATATTTCTGATTTGTTGTTCCTAGCATTAGCTTTTAATTCCAGGTGGGTATTTTGATTTGTCAAGTACATGTTTTTCTTCTACAAGTCTTTAACTTTCTCAGTTAGGATTTACAGTTTAGCATTTATAGTATCCATTTTTATACACCGTGAGCTTAAGGATTCGTTCACAGAAGCCAATTCCTTCTTCACTGCTTTATTTACCTCAAGTAAGATATCCCGAACTAATTTACTCATCGTTCACGTTTTCGCCCAGCTGATTCCCATCAGTATAATCGTTATCGTCCTCCGGAATTATGAAAGACTAGATTAGGCGATTCCTTACGACAATCTTCACATGTCCACTCCAGGTTTTCAGCATTGCGCAGAGCTGATAGCTGCTTCGAAGATAAGCCTGTGCATAATTGATTGGCGTGTACTATTTTTCCACATTTGTTGCACTCAAGCCTAGGTGACTTTTTTGTTATGGACCTATCACAATTGTTGCCTTTAGACATTCTTACTTATTTAATATTGGGGGTAAATTTATCCGTACACAGTTAGACTACGCTGTGGGAGAGCTCGCGAGTGACTGAAGCTCTGTGAGAAGAACTGTGAGCTCGAGAATGCCTCGTCTTCATTAATGGGTCTCTGGTGGTCTCCCATTTAAAACACGGCTGGTACATATATGTAGACATCTGCATTTTAGTGCACGATCGTGTGCGTAAACACATGTAAGTGTACTCTCTATTCCCTTACGGTGATAGTTACATAAGACAGGAGGGATATCACACGCAGGTCCAACGTTTTCAAATGTTTGCGAGCCATGTGTGTGAAACACCACCTATGTCCTGACACCAGGCTGTTACTGAGAATTTCTTGAGAATCCCAACCCGCTTTTTAAAACCGAGAAAATCAGCATGGTGAAATGGTTTTTATTACGGAACCCTACTGCCTTTAATATACATAATTTATATGAAAAAAATATGCAATAAATGGTTTTGGTGGCAAATAATTATTTTTTTCCTAATAAATGTGTCGATACTACCATACTCATCACTATATATTATAATCAAAATCATTTGAATTACATAATATTGTTACGAGCTTGAGGTTCGTGACAATAAAAACTGCCGATTGAATTACCAAAATTAACTCTTTAATTCACCCCCGACACTAGATGGCGTTAGTGCCGGATACATGACGTCAACTTAGGCGCGCAACAATATGTTAAGGGTGGCCTACAAGCACTGAATTGCGTGATTAATTATTAGTGTTTTCTAATTCCTGAAATTCAATGAGCGTAGGTACAGATCGGTATGCTTTTCTCACCAGCTTCTCCACCTCTAGAGCCCACTGCTGCAGGTTTTCGTTGATGCGCTGCACGCGATCCTTTAGCTGCGTGTGAAAGACGTGTTCCAAGTGAGCGTCGCCATATCTCGACTCCAATGCCTCAAGGAGTTGCTCATAAGTCACTTCCTCACCGAGAACTTCCAGAACTGTTAAGGCCTGGGCGCGCAGGCCTAGTGTGAGAGCAGTCATGGTCTGACTTTCATTTCAGCCGTTCGCCTTCATAACGGTTTCAAATTGGATTTTGTAGGCTGACCAGGAAGAAGTCCCGTCGAACGGTGGCACTTTGAACCTACGTAGCGAAGGTGTTGTAGCTACTATGGGAGCTGTAATTCCATCCCCCAGGTTGTGGTCGTCCAACGTTTTCTTCACGTCAGCTATCACGTTGTCAACCCGATTGTTCACTTGGTCGATTCGGGTTTCAGCTTTCTCGATTCGGGTTTCAGCTTTCGCGATTTGGGTTTCAGCTTCTGACAGGCGGTTGTCATGCTGAGCAACCCTATCCTTCACCTCCTTTATGTCCTTCCCGAAGGTAGCGTGAAGGTCCTTCATGAGGAGCATCTGCTCTTCCAACCGACGGGCCTGTTCTCCTTGTCCGCCCCGCAGCTGCTCTTCCAAACGACGGACCTGTTCCTCCTGTCGGCGAGCCTGTTCATCCTGTCCGCCCTGCAGCTGCTCTTCCAACCGACGGACCTGTCACTCCTGTCGGCGAGCCTATTCTTCCTGCTGCTCTTTCAACAGACGGGTCTGTTCCTCTCATCCGCGCTGCAGCTGCTCCTGTAGCACCGCCATCAGAGCTCCTAAGTCAGGTGCTGCAGATGTGGGAGCTACTGACGGGCCCGCAGCCTCCGTGACTGGTAGTTGACCCTCCGACGTCTGCGACGTTGCACCACCAAATCTCCTCTGGTCCGTCTCCTGCTGGCGTTGACTTCGGGTACGGACACACTCCGATTCCTGTTTCGATAAAATCGGCATGATTTTATCCCACTTCTGACACCAATTGTTACGAGCTTTTTATAAATGCTCGTAACAATTGGTGTGGGTAAATCTTTGTGTCAGAGAGCATGAGGAATCTGTGATAGTAAACACCTGGCTGCCGAGCTTCACCACGTCAAGCAAGTTTTGCATGACAACAAGCTTCGAGTCCCGCGCCTACGTCACAGTGAACGAGTGAAGCCGGCTACAGTCGAGCGTGTACCTGCTGTACTGCCATATGTTAGAGGAGTCACTGACAAGATTGGCTACATCTTGAAACGCTTCCATCAAAACATACTTCAAACTGCCGAAGAAGATTGGTTAGTTTCTACAATCAGTCAAGTGTAACGTCCCTCTGCAAGATGCAGGAGTGTACAAGTTTCATTTTGAATGCGGTCTCCCTTACATAGGACAAACTAAAAGATCAATTAAAACCCGCGTTAAAGAACATATAGCTGATGTAAAGAATCGACGCTCCGGGAAGTCTGCAGTCTGTGTACACCTACAGGATCGCCCCCGTCACTACATAAGATTTGATAGACCACAAATCCTCGCTAGAGAACACCGATTCCTTCCAAGGATGATTCGCGAGGCTATTGAAATCAAAAACCCTATGCTAATTTTAATCCGCTTCCAATATGTAGAAATTTAAAATACCGACTTCGAGACAGGCAAAATTACTCATGTCAGATCTCATGCAACCCTCATTACTGGCTCTATCCCTCAAAGTGGCGTTTTGGGTTGTATTTTGTTTCTTATTTACATAAATGATCTCCCAAACATACTGGACGATCTAAGTGTGCTCTTTGCCGAAAACATCTCCATCTTAAACACTCTTCTTCAGCAAGCTTCTCTTGCACTAATTCCAAAGATTTAACTACAAAATTGAACTATACATTATATAAAATTGCTGGCTGGCTACAATTACATAATTTACAACTGAATCTTAATAAAACTAAAATTATTCAATTTAAACCCCACCAAAAAACTGGTTTACGAATATCCTTTAACGATAAAAACACAAAACTAGAAACAGTTAACTCTGGCACTTTGTTAGGAATAGACCTGAACACACATTTGAGTTGGAAACAGTACATACAAAAAATTGCCAAAAAATATCCTCATTTATTTATGCTCTGCAATACCTTAAACTTCTGGCAGATTTTAAGACTGCCCTTGCGGCTTACTATGAACATGCTCATTCTGTACTCTCCTATAGCATCAAATTGTGGGGAAATTCTTGTGATGTAAACACATTATTAATATTACAAAAGAAGTGTCTACGAATATTAATAAATTTGGACAAAATGGAATCATGTAAACCCCACTTCATTAAAAATAAATTTTTACACTTACGACAATCTACATCCTCGAATCTTTTAAATTCGTAAGGAAACACCCAAAACTCTACTCACCTATTAAAAAAAAACTAAAAAAAAATAATAGAAATTTATATAAGCTTAAGATACCATTCTCCAAATTAAAATTAGTGTCAAACATAATGATTTCTTATATTTACGCGAACACTATTCATTGATTCAAACTACTTTTACGGATTTTATCCCGTTAATTTATGTTATTTTTAATACCCGACATATCGGGTGCTTTCCAGCACCCATGGTCATGGGGACTGAGGTGACTAACGTCGAGATGTCAAAGTTAACCCGAAGTACATTCAGCTTTTTTAAGTTCTCATTGATCTCTTTGTTTGCCCTATATCTAGCTATCTACTGAAGACATTGATTATTTGAAGACATTGCCAGATGAAAGCAAGGAACACCTGGCCGCCGAGCTTCAGCAAGTCAAGCAGGTTCTGCACAAAAACAAGCTTCGGGTCCTGCGCCTACGTTACATTGAACAAGTAATGCCGGCCACAGTCGAGCGTGTGCCTGCTGTACTACCATATGTCAGTGGTGTCACAGACAAGATTGGCTACATCCTGAAGCGAGTTTCTATTAGAATATTCCACAAGCCGCCGAGGAAGGTTGGTCAGTTCTTACCATCCGTCTAGTGTCATATTCCTATACAAGATGCAGGAGTGTACAAGCTTGACTGTGATTGTGGTCTCTCATATATAGGGCAAACAAAGAGATCAATTAGAACCCGCGTAAAAGAACACATAGCTGACGTGAAGCATCAACGTTCCGGGAAGTCTGCAGTTTGCGATCATATCCTAGACGGCCCCAACCATTACATCAGATTTGATATACCACAAATCCTCGCGAAAGAACACCGATTCCTACCAAGGACGATACGTGAGGCTATTGAAATTATAAAAACATCCTTATTTCAATAGAGAAGGAGGCTGGGTACCACCAGCTGCTTGGGACCCTATAATCAATAAAATTAAAACTAAACCCAAGCATACCACTGCAAGACCTCAGGACATAGTCAGTTCATTTTGCATAGATCGGACCATAAACCATAATTAAAAAAAGCTGAAGGTACTCCGGGTTTAACAATGACATCGGGACGTCAGTCACCTCAGTCCCCCGTGACCATGGGTGCTGGAAAGCGCCCGAAACGTCGGGAATCAAAAATAAAATTAATTAAAAGTAAAATTAAACGTGATAAATCCGTAAAAGTAGTTTTAGTCAATAGGTAAATAAATTATACATAACTTAATATCCTCTCAGCTGTGATGTGGCAGAATTCAGCCAGAAAAAAGCCGCGCCTGTGGGCTGGCTGAATTCTGCCATT